CACACACACACACACACACACACACACACACACACCCTGTTAAATTAACTGATTCTGAATCTGTTCTGGGCTCAGAATCATTTGTACGTCTCTGGAGAACAAATTTCTTGCAAAGAATAATCCAAACAGTGATGGTGTGGTTCTGCAAAGCTAAGTATTCGGGGCTTTCACATTAAGTTCAGCTTTTATCCTGGTCTTTGTCAGCTCTCAGTGTTATCCTCTCCCATGTTGTATTAATGTCAAAGCATCTCTGAGACGTCTCAGTGTTAGGGGTTTTGTGTTTTCTTACGGATCCCGACTTTCATACAAATCATGAACTTTGGTATGTTATTGAAATTTTATTGAAATCATCTGAAACCAGAGCTTTGTGAACTGTATCTGTCTACATGTTGTATCTGGGCCTAAATTATGTAAGCAGCCTGTTTGAACTCTAGCTGTGCTTTAAATATGTGTGACCCGTGGAGCTCACATATGAAGGTGAAGACACTGCGAGCATCTGCATGTTGAAGCATATTTAGCTGCATATTAGCATCTCTGTTCGGTCTTTGATTGTCGGTTCTGACCAAAGGAAGGATGTGACGAGGGAGAGGCAAGCGCCTAAACCTGTTTCCATGGCAACTAGGCACCCCAGTGATGTCTTGGTGAGGTTAATGACAGGAAATGTAGCTCTCCTCTGGAGTTGCACGATATATGTGCATGTGTGTGTTTTGCAGTGCCCGTCAGAATATTAAGCCGTTTCACGAGTGGGATCAGGAGAGACTTTGCTTCGATGAGTCACAGAGCAGAAATCCTCAGAAGGTCTTACGCTGCATAAACTGCCGTCACCGGCTTAGTGTTAAAAAGCACCAGCAGCTCTCAGTCACACATCACCCCGCCTGGTTTACCCACTCTCAACAAGACCGTGCTTCCATTTTCACTCACTCCCGTTATTTTAAAAATAGCATCCCTTTTTTTTACATGATGACAGTTTGCAGAACAAAAGAGAACATTTTTTTCTGTCTTTGACTCGATAAGGACGTCCTCTGCTGTCCTTTCATTAAGCATGCAAAGTGACATTCCCTGAAAGTGGTGTGTCCAAATGCTGCCCCCTCAAGGCCCTGACTCAAATCACATGTTATAGAGGTTGATGGGGAAAATCGGGCAAAGTTATCAGAGCATGAAGACAGGAAGTATTTCTGTATTTGTGTCTGCATGTGGTGCAGCTTGTAGGTTTGCACCAAGTGTACTGATTTGATCTCCAGACACAAACTGAATGACAGCGAACAACTGTTTTATTTTATTAAGTGAACTGAAAAAAAACATTGACCTTCAAAGATTTCAGATTTTTGTTGTGTGTCTACAGCTGCTAATTTTTTTATTTTCTGTTTCTTTGCTTTGCAGAGAGTGAGCGAGAAGGTCGGAGGAGCAGAGGGGACGAAGCTCGATGAAGACTTCACTGAAATGGAAAAGGCACGTGTGAACCTTTTTATGTCTTGTGAAAATTCAACTTTAAGTTGTCACCGTTTTATGTAAATGGTTTGCCAGTACACCCAACTCCAGAGCTCACTGCAGATGATGTATTTGGACCTAAATGAAACAAATGTTCAAATGTTGCTGAAGAAGTTATCTGAAAAACATCGCGTTGCTCCAATTACACTTTGCTTTGTTTGACTCAGTTTAAAAAAATTAAACTTTATCATGTGCCTGAATTCCAGACAAATTCTTTGCATTAAAAAAACAGAATACACAGGTAAATGTACAGTATAAGTATGAGTATGGATATTAAGTACGTGTTTACATATTAGCAGCTCTTAAACAAAAGCTTCAGACATTCTGCAGAACTTATTTATGTTTCATTTGTCCTGTGGGACCTACATCAGTGTCCTCTCACCTTTGTACTGTTTGGGTTTACAGAGGGTGGACGCCACCTCTCGAGCAGTGATGGACATCATTACAAAGACCACCGAGTATCTGCAGCCAAACCCGGGTAACAGAAACCAGCCATACAAATCCTGCAAATTCTTTATTCCTCCAGCATAAAATATTTTTGATGTTTATGACTTTCTGCAATCTTTTCTACAAAATGTGTTGAGGTTCTGATATTATTATTATTATTATTATTATTATTATTATTATTATTATTATTATTATTATTATTAGATTAGATTAAATAGAGCTTTATTGTCATTGTACAGAGTACAATGAAATCACAGTTCATAACACCCATTCAGAAGAAGACAGAACATAACAAACATAGGAGAACAGGTGCCCTGGGTCATGATGCCACAGACCCTGCACAAAGCAAGGATCATCTTCATGAAGACATCACGAGGAGGCGCTACCCTTGACAGAAAAACTAAATTTAACCTTTTAGAGCCATCCTCAGGTTGTCAGGACTGATTTTAAATTTTCACTTTGCAGTCTTGAAACAGTTTTTAGCAGTTCTTGTTCTGTTGCAAAAGACCATTTAAATTTTACTTGACAGAACAGTTATCTGGTGTAGTTTATCCTTGTCACTGTCTGTCGTGTTTTCTGTTCTGTTACCTGCTAAAGAATTGCCTTCAAACTCTTAGTGATTTCTAATTGGGATTAGGTTTCCATCTACTAACTCTTTCATGTAGATGGTGTTTTTTTCACTCCAGTTTTCTTGAATATCTTAACGACATTTCACATTGTGGAAACTTCATGCTAAAAGCACTTTGACTTTTTCTACCTCATTCTGCAGTCATCACTTGTTCTCTCATACATCTTGAAGAGCCCAGAGAGTTATCACAAGAGTGCAGGTGATGGAGGTTAGCAACTCTGAACCAGCTCATTTGATTCCCATCCTGATTGTTGATGGATATATTTACTTCACCTGAGAGCTTTTTGAACTAGCCCTGGCAACAAGGGATTTACAGAGGGTTGTCCAAACTTTCAAAATCAGAATCAGAAATACTTTATTGATCCCAGAGGGACATTACAGTTATTACAGCTGCAACCAGTCAAGTATAAATAACAAGACAATAAAGATAAGTGTATGTAAACTTTACCACTGTAGCAATATTTTATATATCCATCCATCCATCCATCCATTCATCCAAATGTTCAGATTGATTTTCTGAATAATATGCAAAAACCTATTTAGCTCACATTTAAATGTTTATTTTCAGATCTAAATACTCCATCTCACTCTGAACCTGTGTGTGCTTCAGAGACCTGAAACAAAAGACGCTGAATCAAATAATAATAATCATTATCAACACCCTGGTTCCCCATGGGTGGTTCCTCTAACATCAGAATTAAAATACCAGAATTAAACAATTATTTTTATACTGCTGGAGCGAGGCACAAAATAAATAGAGACTTGTTGGTTCTCTTCCTGTTTAAAACAAATGACTGCAATCAATCACAAAGTATGAGTTGTAAGGCTGTGTAAAGTAGTTTCATTACTTTGACTAAAAATCAGTCAAAGTCACCTGATGGAATAAATGAGGTTGGAAATAATGTGATGGAATTGGTCACCAAAGTGTGTTCGACCATTCAGGTTTTAGTTTTCATGTTTTATTTCAGTTCTTTCTTTGTGATGTTTGATTCGAACCAACCAGTCTCCCCCGGAGGCTTTAAATTCTTCAATATTTGTTTAAAAACATTAAAACGCACAAAGTCCCTTAGATTAATAATCATTTTAGTTCTCGGTCAAACAGACACATTCATGGGATATTATAGTTTTCATTGTGTGTGTGTGTGTGTGTGTGTGTGTGTGTGTGTGTGTGTGTGTGTGTGTGTGTGTGTG